TCTTAACATCTAAGGTACCAGGCCTCACAGCTATTCCTTGCTCTGTCCTCCCCCATTACAAACAATAGCGACGGACTTATCGTACGATGACTTTGAGCATCCTACTCCGCTTGACGCGACCAGCAACAATTCCATTTGTGTGACGAATATCCTCCTTAGGTCGACTGTGATTTTACTGTGGCGGGTTCATGAACAGCATTTACAAGCAGGCCTTACGTTTGATTTTTATTGTCTTTTTATCCATCCTCTTCGGGATTCTCTTTAGCAAAACGGGCAAAAAAGGTTGGGAAAGCGCGCATATTTCGAAACAAATCTTTCAACTTCTCTTCTCGGAAACCAGACCTACAGCACTAGATGCGACCGCAAGGGAAGAATTCAGGGGCGACTCAGCTTTTTTTTAATTTTATTTTCGTCTGCCTGATTCACCTCTCCACATGGGCGACCATAACAAACCATTCAGCAACAGATCACATACAGTTCACATGGGCAACAGACGACCAACGAACGCGGCACTTCTGCACATTTCCTATGTAATACTCTTCATACTACGATCCAACTATATACACCGCACCTTACAATATCCTTTGTCTCGACTGAAGCTTTTTATTTCGCTTTCCCACAAAACGACTCCTCCCAGACAACGACAGAATACCCTTTCGTCCTATAAAACATCAGCACGCAACAGCCAACCCACAAGAAGATTTGGTTCCCCTCTTTTTACCATTCCCCACAGCGCTTGACCAGCAATGTTATCTCCTTTGTGAACTCTTTCTTGCATTCCGTTATCTATACACTCTGTACACTTTTGTGGTTCTATGCCCAATGGGACTGGCAAGAACGTACAAACGCTCTCCCCCAATTCTTTCCAACCTCATCGCAGCAAAACCTCAAGGATGGACTCGGTTACAGTTAGGATTGCGGGGACTTGCGATTTTGGGCCGTCTGTTTTTGAGTTCTGTCTTGCGTGTAGTCCGTATTTAGCGTTTTGTACGCGTTTTATCTTTCCAAGTGTTTTCCGCGCTGTCCCATTGATAATTTGTTTTGTAATATGTCTAGCTCGCTAGCCCTTATCCTGTCTTTTCTTGATTTGCTTCTTTTATGTGTTTCTATTTGTCTGCTCTGCCTCGCTTCTCATGTTCATGATGCCTTGGAAATTTATGACATTTTTATTTTTGCATGCTTTTGTTCATAGCTGTCGCGTTTCATGTTTCATGTCAGTTTATTTCTAGCGATTGCGCATGGTCCTCGTTTCTCCCCTCCCTAGTTATGCGCTGGATCGGGCTTGCTTGACCCAATCGCAACCAAATTCCTGTTTCAATTTTCTTTTTTTTAATCCGATTTACCTGGGGATCATATCCCTAATTTTGCTTTCCTGTTTAGTGACATGATTATGATTATGATTTCTTATGGAAATGGCTATTCATTACAACAGCTTTTGTTGCGGCAAAGTGACGCAAAGGGGGACTCTGTCCCTGCTGAACCACTTTGACTCTGTTCTCTTTGCCCGTTAACTTTCAAACATTCTACCCCATACCGTTGCCTTTTGTCTATCTGTTTCGGTTCATTTCACAGGAGCCAGCTGAGCCAATCCCCCTCCCCCCCCCTTCTTTTGGATCTACTGGCTACCTGAGAATTGATTTTACCCCATTTTATGAACCACAACAAAACAACTTACCTTCTTTGGATATATTCTTTTTAAATTCCAATTTAATCAAATCACGGAATTTTACTTAAATGTGACTTTCTACTTGCTTCCAAAGTTGAAAAGTTGAAGGCGAGATAAGGGTGTACCCGGAAATATAAATTAATTCTCGCTGAATTATCAATCAAGGACGGCAATGTAGCAAGTAAGTAGGTAGGGGAACCAGCCCGAAAAAAGAAAAGAAAAGAAAGAACAAGTGATAAATCAAATTCAGCTAGCTCGTTCCAAGTATCTTATTTGAATCAAAAGTAACTATAATATAGAAATTCATAGGCCGAAATCGTTAAATCCTCGCTATCGGGTCTTACTTCGGATTATATTTCTCCTTCCATATCCTGTACCAGGGAATCGTCAGTCAGCGATCAACGAAAAATTTGACCAACGAGAATGATTGGATTTTGCTGTTTCTTTGGCCTGCGGTGCTTCTGCCTGCACTTTGCGTGGTGCGGGGGGCAGTGCTAAAAATACGCAAGAGCTGATGGCCAATGAAGACCGCCTGACGCTTGCGGTTTGCAACGATGGAACAGGAACGGCGTCAAGAGCAACAGGCGCTTTTGTCACATAATTTGCAGCATGTCTGGACATTTGGGAAACAATGAAAAAAGAAGCGGGGGGGAGAAGTTCAGGTCGGTTTGCTTTTTCTGTGTGCCAAATTGAAGCATGGACACCCTGCAACTGAGCTTGGAGGATATTGAGACGGTGCGTTGTACAGCCACAGAGCACACAAACACGAAAACGCAAAACACGAGAAAGGGTGGCCTCAGCACGGCCATGGGCATGGCGCGTGTGTGTGGCATGGGATTGAGCGGGGGCTGCAAAGTGATGTCAAGAACCAAGCTCAGCAGGCAAAGAAGGAAGCAGCTCGGCAAGTAGGGCAAAAGCATTGTAACTCTTCGTTCGCCTCAGTAAATTGCTTGCTTGCTTGGATTGATGGTTTGATTGGATTGCTTTGCTTCGTTGGCTCTGGTGCCTGACCAGGTCCAGGTGGGGTCATTTCTGGGGAAGGGATTTTATGCTTTGCGGGTGGAATAGAAGGGAAGGGCATCTGCAAATTGATACGATGTATTGAGTCGAGGGAGGGATTTGTGATGAAGGAAAGGCGGTGAAAACTTATATGGAGAAAAGAAGGACGAAGGAATAAAACTAACCAAGTATTTCCAAGAGTCTTGTTGCCGTTCTCTTCAGCGAGGCGGTAGTATTTTGCGGCCATATACTATAAATAAAGGAGAGTTTAGAACGCGATTAGTATTGGTCCATTCATAGCTCCCATTTTGTCTTCTGCAAGGGGAAAAAAATAACAAAATAAAGAATGAGACTGGAGCAAAAGCAGTTGGAAAGGGGAATATAGCGAATGGGAAGTGATGGCAAAAGGAACTTGGAGTGTTGAATGCCCAAAGGCTAAGGAAAAAAGTGAGGGAGGGGAAAGGTAGATGCATTGCTGCCCAACGGTGATCTGTGTGTGATCTTAAAAGCTGCATCCAGAGCTCTGGTTGGTAAAAGCTTCTTTTTAATCTTGGATACGCTATGCAAGGCACTGAACCAATAGGTGCGACCTCAGTTCGAGATAATTTCAGCCTCAACGAGCTCTCTTCAGCCTGGGCAGTTTGAACGTGATATTTAGATCCCTCCTGTAAACTTCTCGAAATCATGAAAATTCCAGGGAATTGAAATTCAATAAAGTGCGATGGCAGGAGAGGCAGGAGCACGCCTCTCTCTCTTCGTTTTTCACTTACCCTATCTTTCTTCCCCCCAAACCCCTCCAAGTAACACCAGGCTGCCTCATTCATGGCATCCGTGTCTCCTAGATTTGCTGCAGTCTCATAGTAATGCCTAGCAGCGACAGGATCTTTGGCTACTCCCCAGCCGTTACGGAAACAATTGGCCAATTCATACATGGCAAGCACCAACTCCCCTTTCGCAGCGCCCCCTTTCTTCATCCCTGCGTTCAGAGCTTCGGCCTCAATCGAGGCAGAATTGGATGCTGCAGCGGATAAGTAGGTTATGGCTTTTTCAGGGTCAGGCGCGCAACCCCATCCATGTCTGCACGAAGTGTAAGACATTGTCTTTCTAGCGTCCTTCGAGGGGCAGATGAACAAACCGAAGAGCGAGGCCATAGAGCACTTGACTCAAAGCATTATTCGCACCATTGGGATCTGCGAGTTTGCCCAAACATGCGTGTTGATTCCGCGAGCTCTGTCTCAAAGAACAGAAGTCAGAACATGAGCGATGAACTAATCCACTTCGTCGTTCCCTTCAAATACCCATCTTTTACATCGAATAGCAGTAGTTTGAACTTACGCCCATTTTCATGTAGTCGAATTGCTTCTTGGATATTCTCCTACAGTACATACAGCGGATTAGCAACTGAGCCCATCTCTCTACGAAAACACACCGTAGGTATATCCCTGCCCAATATATCACAGAGGTAAGAATCTAGACATACATCACCCTCTTTCTGCTGCTCAATATCTCCTCTCGGGCTAGCGGGTCTGATACCGGTCCCATTCAAGCCCCCCTGTACCATGATCGTTGCCCTCTTCTCCCACTGAGCCTCACGATCCTGTGCATCGCCTGTGTCTGGCGCGATCTGCGGGAGATGCGATGGGAGGTTGACAGATGAGGTGCTAGCGGAGCGTGAAGCACGGTTCAGATGCAGGCGCTGGGAAAGACGGCGTTCGCGCTTTTCACTCTGTGCGGGGGATAATTCTTGGCTGGGCGAGTTCTCGCTGGCCCCAGCGGAAGAGACATTGGATAAACGGTGCAAGCGGGAAAATGGACTGCGCGACGACGAGGAGGGATTCGAGGATGTAGGAGATTCGGATCGAGATTGGGACTCGGGATGAAAGGGGTGGGAGTGCGAGTCGGCCTGGGCTTGGTGTTGTCCAGGAGGTTGAATGGATTCGGTGGTGTATGTGTCTGAGCGGAAGAATTTAAATTCTGGAGGATTAGGAGGAGGAGGAGGAGGAGGAGGAGAGAAAGGCTCTTGCTGGTAAAAGCGCTGCGGCTGCTGGTGCTGCTGAACTTGCTGGGTGTGGTCGTCTTTGATTTTGTCTTTCTTCTTGAGAAGGTCTTTAAGAGCCATGACGTTTGTTGTTTGCTATTTGTTCTATGGTGGGGCAGAAAAGCTTCAACGA